CACCAGAGATCCTGTAGTTTGGGACATTTGACTGGAGGAAGAAGTTATCACCAGAGATCCTGTAGTTTGGGACATTTGACTGGAGGAAGAAGTTACCGTTACCACCAGAGGTCCTGTAGTTTGGGACATTTGACTGGAGGAAGAAGTTACCACCAGAGATCCTGTAGTTTGGGACATTTGACTGGAGGAAGAAGTTACCGTTACCGCCAGAGATCCTGTAGTTTGGGACATTCAGAGAGCAGCTGTTGGAATGTTGGGCTGATTAGAATGAGTTAACTGTTGCTTTTGAAGCAATTAAATGTTAGACTGAGCCTGAGTAAATAGTGAACCTAGAATGTTATGCGTGAGCAGTTTTAAGGAGGGTTGGGTTGGGGGGGGGGGGAAGGAGGGAGACTCACTGGAGAAACTGAGTTTTGGTTTTGGATAGGCTGGTAGTTTTGAAACCGGATTAAGAAGTGCTGTTAGTATTTATAACATTCAGTTTGAATGTAAAACTTGTTTCTATTTTTTCTGTGTTATATGAATTAATTTTTGAAATATCAAAAGAGACTGAGTTTTCATTTTGGATAGGCTGGTAGTTTTAAAACAGGATTAAGACGTGTTGTTAGTATTTATAACATTCAGTTAGAGAATATATATGATGCATGTAAAACTTGTTTCTATTTTTTTCTGTGTCATATGAATTAATTTTTAAAATATCAAGTGGGTGGTTGGCAGGTGCTCTGGTGTGGTTTGCTCCTTCTTTCCTATAAAAAAATCTATCTTCTCTATCTTCCCTCCTTCTTTTTTTGTGTTTGTTACTCTCTTGTAACATTTCTAGTCTTCTGCACTTATATGACCTTATTGTGTTTCAAGTGCCGTAAAACACTTACTAAAACTTTTTAAAATATGAAATCTCCAGGTCTCACACATTTGCCATCCGCAAACGGCCGGACTGGCTGCAAGGGCAAACTGTCCACAACTTGAACGTCCGCGGAAAACGAGGCAACATTGTCCAGGTGTACCCAGCTGTGGAGTACGACTTTGTGCCCAATGACTTAGAAGTGGCTGTTGGTGACTATGTTCATATGCAGTACGTATACCTCTTCCACATGTTGTACATATGTGTCACGACGTGGTGGAATCAGGCGCTCGTCAACTTTTGGACATATTTGGTTATCAATATCATCTTAATGCCTGTTCATTTGCCTTGCTTTTGGTGAAAAAAATGCCCATCTATCTTGAATAAAAGTCGAGATATTTGAGATTGGAGAAGGTGGGGGTCTCCTGGTTTCAAAGGCAGAATTAGCGAGAAAATAGCCGCCATTCCATAGCTTCATAGTCCATGGAAACTGAAAACTTATATTGTTTATGCCTTTAATCAACCTTTTTTCAGTAAAATCCACACAGAAATGTGTTCTTAATTGGACCCAAAAAAAAAAGAATTTCGAAAAAAAATTCCAAACTGGCCCGAAAATCCTGGTTTCTCGGATTTCATTATTTTGACGAGCGCCTGATTTCACCATGCTGCCTCACATATGCGAGACGTGCTGACAAGATGAGTTATGACCTAATGCAGTTGCCAGCGCAGTAAAACCTCTACTAAAACTAACTATCATCATAATTATTATTATTATTATTATTATTATTATTATTATTATGATCATTAATAAGAGCGTTGCAATGGTTGTTCCAAATACAATAGAACCATGTTTCATATTTAAAATGAAGTGTTGGAAGTTACTTTTGAGCTTCCATATATATGCAGATGGAAATGGGTTTTTTCTTTAAAAGTAATTTTATTCAAAACACCAGGATGATAAAATATCTTGTGTTCTGTGATGTCAACAGATGGACGGGCTCAAACACCAACCCGAGGAACAATGACGGCCAGGGTCTGGCGGGGACCGATCGCAACAATCTCATTCTTCTCACCGCACAAAAGTTTGCTGAGGGTAGCGGCACAGCGGATTACAGGGGAGCCAAGCATGGCCACTACGGAACCAACTACCCCATGCGTGCGGAGAACTCCACTTTCCTGGGCCTGTCTCAGGAGGATGCACTCACTCTAGCTTTTCTCGATCCAGGTGAGTATAGTTGAGTCTGCTTAATCCCATGAACCTTAGGCTCCCAGACGTGGGTGGTTGGCAGGTGCTCTGGTGTGGTTTGCTTCTTCTTTCCTATCAAACATCTATTGTCCTTATCTCCCCTCCTTCTTTTTTATGTTTGTTACTCTCTTGTAACACCTCTAATCTTCTGGCACTCATATGACCTTATGCAGTTGCGAGCGCCGTAAAACCTCTACTAAAACAAACAGGCTCCCAGACTCTTACTTTTCCTGAATAGATGTAGATAAATAAAAACAGAGAATAGAGTCATAGATTTACTCTATTCAGGGAGAAAAAAACAAAAAAACTCAAGACTTGTCCTGAGATGAGTAGATTAGTGACTCTATATTCTATTCTGCATTTTTATGTAGATCTATATATTTATCTTCAGGCCAATTCCAGGTAAAAACCTCTTTATTTCTCATGAGATGAGCAGTTGTGTGACTCTATTCTCTGTTTATATCGTCAGGTCAGTTCCGAGTAGAAAAATTTTCCTACCCCCCATGGCAATGCTACTGACTGAAGTGTCTTTGGGCCATTCCCAAAGGGGGGACATTAATCATGTTCTTATGCTCAATAAAATTGTAATTGTAAATTCGCTGATTATTAATGTCATGCTCATAACTGTGCCTGAACTTCAACAGGGAAGTGCTGCTTTTTCTTTCCTAATCCTTACTATCGTCTTTTTTCCTCTACTTCTTTTGTATGTTTGTCACACTCTTGTGACCCGCTATTTCTGGGGTGCCTTGATAATCGAAGCAGACTTTGTGCTGTTGAAGCTAGAGAGGTGAGCAGAGTAAGTCTGATTCCCTGAAAGGATTTCTCTCTTGACATCCACCCCTTGGCGCTCAAATGACCTTATGCAGTTGCAAGCGCCGTAAGACCTCTACTAAAACAAACAAGAAAACGTTTACTTGTCCTGAATTAAGTAACTGTGTGACTATTCTGTATTTTTACATTATCTTTTTATTTTTATATCTTCAGGTCAGTTCCGAGGGGAAGTGTCTGAGCTAGACGACGCAGGAACTTACTTCAACCTGAGCCCTCGCAAAACGACCTCAGCAGGAACCTACCAGTACATGTGCACTCGGAACAATAATTTTTCCAACCGCGACCAGAAAGGGAGAGTGGTCGTGAATGCGTCTCCTTTTAAGCGAGAAGCCATCGGGCAAATGGGAGGAGAGGTTGCTTTAGATAATGGGTGAGTTCAGCTTTACAGGCTAGAAAAAAAAAAGGCTTATGCTCTTAACCCTGTCCGTACGTCGTGTTTTACTATCGTATCCATACGACATGGGGAACTCTGTGCCCCCACTTTCCAAAGAGAAAATTTACTCGTTATCTCACTTCAGACGGCTCACACAACAGTTGCGTGACCCCCGCCGTGACGCTCGCGACGGGTCTCACAAGCCCTGCGTGACCAACTTTGGAATTTTTTTTCCGCTCTACAAATCACGCACGGATCGCGAGACCCGCCTCGTACCCTTGTTTGGCCAAGCCTGAGCTACTTAGACTTCGTTTCGTATCTCTGGGGCCGGTAGTTTTTAAGTTATTGAAGGTGAAGGAGAGTGACCTCAACTGGGGTTGAACAGACCGGAACTCGCGCTTTGTTTTTTTCTATACAGCTGATAGTAATCCGACAGTCGCGTCGTAGTAACGGTCGAAGAAGTCGCATGAACAAGAATCACATAATTTCGCCGTTTTCTATACTTCTGTACGTTTTACTAGTTCTAGTGTCTCAGAATATGATGTGTCTAATAGTTAGGATCCTGGATATGTACCCGAACACGGCCCGAGTCGTAGTTCTAGGGCTAAATCTAGCACTAGTACCGGTGTTGTTTTTCGCGCAACGAAATCACAACGTCGTGCCGTACATCTGTCTCATGTAATTCAGTGTATGGGTCTGAATCAATGCACAGACCAGCTTTTGTATTTTCACCAAACACTCGCACATGTATACAAATCAAACCAGAACACTTTGAACTCTTATTTTTGTTGTTGTAGTGAATTTCATTCTACTTGTCACGTCTCAGGAAATTTTTCGGAAAATCAAATTCATGCCAATTTTTAAAAAATCATACAAATTAAAGTATTAGACTTAGACAACTTTAGTGTTTTGTATTAGATTAAGCTTGAATGTTACTTTACTGTGTCAAAAAATAATAACAATAGGGTAATTCTGAGAGTTGTGGTGATTTATTGAAATACCCCCAAAAACGCCAGTCTTCAACGCTTGTGACTGGTGAAAGGGCCCAGTCGCAAGTGAGTTAATCCGATCCGTATGCTTGCTTAGCAGTCTGTCAAAATGATTTTTTGAGAAATACTGAAAGTTTCAAAGAGATCTTTGCACCAGAAGTATTCTAAAATGTGAAGATTACAACCCCAGGTTTACAAAATGACCCGAGAGCGTACGGATAGGGTTAACCTTTGCTTCTGTGGAAATGTGATATTTTCTAGAGAATGACTTTGTCCTCATGTCATCTCCGACACTTGTAAAACAAAAACCTTTTCTGTCTTCTTGGGTGCTTCCCCTCATCTAATGGACTCTTTGCTCTCTCCTTTTGTTTTGAACCCTTTTTTTCACTCTTGGATTGTGGGTGGTTGGTGGGTGCTCTGGTGTGGTTTGCTTTTTCTTTCCTATGAAACATCTATCGTCCTTTTCTCCCCTTCTTCTTTTTTATATACGTTTGTTGTTCTCTTGTAACGCCTCTAATCTTCTGGCGCTCATACGACCTTATGCAGTTGAGAGCGCCGTAAAACCTCTACTAAAACTTTAAAAAACTCTTGGATCTGAAAAACACTAGTGTGTTTGAAAACGTCAGCTCAGTTAATAAAGGGGGGGGGGGGAGAACAGTTGAGTCCCCAGAAATGATATTAATTCTTTTCTTCCGTCGTTTTGTGCTACTTTGTAAATTAACCCCTTATCACATGTATGATGTATGAAGCGGAAAGTCCAGTTTCGAGCCTCGATTCGGACACGTTTTTTCGCCCACTTCTGCCCACCCGACAGTAATGGGTACTTGACTTCGAGTTAGGGAAGTAAATGCGGTGTGGAAAGAAACTGGCCACCCTACCACAATATGCCGAAGGCCCAGGAAGTTATCTCACTAACAAGGCAATCCCCAATGTCCGGATCGGATGGGGGGAACAACATTACTTTTCACACGTATGACAGTTGGTTTTGTTCTATTCATTTTGCATAACACTCTTTGTCCTGTTTTTTAAGAAGACATATATTGTTGTGATGATGGTTTACCATCCTGTTCCTGCTCCCTGGGAAGAGAATGACTTCTTCCTTTTAACTCTGTATACCTTTCATCGTGACTTTTTTCTCTCCAGTCACAACTCATTTCTTATCATAAACAATCTATGGATGTGTTTGGCGGGTGCTCTGGTGTGGTTTGCTTCTTCTTACCTATCAAACATCTATTGTCCTTATCTCCCCTTCTTCTTTTTTATATTTGTTACGCTCTTGTAACACCTCTAATCTTCTGGAGCTCATATGACCTTATGCAGTTGTGAGCGCTGTTAAACCTCTACTAAAACTAAAACTAACTAAACAATCTATGGCTGTGTTTCCCCAGAGCCGCGCGCATGTCAGTGGAAGAGAACACGTTTAGCAGCCTGAAGAACGTGAGGCTGGAGAAGTGGAGCGTGTCCGAGGGAGAGGCCGCCATGTCACGTGTGAATAGGGCTCTCGGGGTCAGTTGTTCCTCTTGTAACTTTTCTTATTGTTGTTATTATTATTATTATTTTTATTGGTATTATTATTATTATTATTATTTTTATTATTGTTCACATTTTTGGTATTGTTATTATTATTACTGTTGTTGTTGTTATTATTATTATCATTATTATTATTACTAGTAAAAGTACCTGTTCTACGAACGGAATAATAATGAAGAAGTATTAGGAAAGTTAAGAAGAGGAAAAAGACTGAAAACAGGAGAGAAACAAAACATAAATATTTTACCTTGAATTAATCCATGTAGCAGCCCCTCTTGACTACCTCTAGGGGTAAGACTTCTTCCCCCTCTTCGAAGGCATGGCATTTTCTCCTAAAGTTCCAGCTCAATCACTTTTTATTTAAAAAGTTAGGCCTACATGCCAATTGTTGCTTCCTAGAAGAACCTAATCTATATTCTAGATCTAGATCTAGCCAAGATCTTGATGGATTATAAAGACATAGGCCAATAATTGATAAAAGGAGCTTAGGCCCATAGATACCTCTACGAAAACAAAACATCTATTCTTAGGCACTGATAAGACCTTGTTGTGTTGGGAGCGGCGTAAAACCTCTACTAAAACTAAAAAAACTTTACTCTCCAGGCTGGTGATGACTACGCTAGTGACTTTGTGGTGTTGCAGCCCGAGAACTTGATAGAGGAAGGAGACGACGACAAGTTCTTCACCCTCCGCATCCAGCTCTCCGACGATTCGGATGACGTCGACGTCTACTACGCCCCCAGCGACTTCTCCGCGTGGTCGAAAGCCGACGCCCACGTCGGAGGGGGCGTGGCCACCGTGAGAGCGCAGCACGGCGGGGTGTACGTCGCGCGGAGTAAGAGCAACGTGGGCATGATTGTTGGGGTTGTTATAGCGTGCGTTGTGGTGGTTGTGATTGTGAGTGGTGCCGTGTTTTACTTCCGCAGGAATCCCACGAAGTGGCAGGCAGTGAAGACGAACTGCAGAAATGCGGAGAGATCCATGAAGAACAAAGTATAGAAAGTGTTGGGGGGGTTTCAAAGTGTCTTTTCATGCTCTAAAATACACAGTTGAAATTGTCCAAGATGGCCACAGACTGTCTTAGCACTTTGCCATCCCATCTCGCCGATCGGCAAGACCATCGAACTTCCGGTCCTATCACAAAACGCGATTTACCACCTAGTGTCTTTGGATTTCCCCCGAAATGCTTGTGATGGCAAAGTGTAAAAACAGGTGGATGTCTAGGATACTGTTATGATATATGGATAAAACACAAGGGGGTGGGG